ACGTGGGCCCTTCCTTATTCTATCCTCTTCACTGCATTTAATAGGAGTTTGGGTTTATATTTGTCCTCTAATGTATCAACTAATCAAATGCATCACACAAGACAAACACTGGCCAGTTCTGAGAAGTGAAATCTCATTTCAGAAGCTGGCACCCTCGAGAGACATTCTGATTTAACTTCTACGTCCACTTCGAAAATATCCAGGCTCTTTAAAATTCACGTTTCAAAAAAATAAAATTCACATTTCACAACAGGATCTGTATTATTTATATTATTATATATGACATAGCCAAATTTTAAATATATACTGTTTATAATTATTTGAAAAATGAGGCTGAGTGCAATGGTGCACACCTGTAATCCCAACACTCAGGAGGCTGAGGAAGGAGATCACTGTGAGTTTGAGGTCAGCCTGGGCTATATAAGCTCATTCAAGGTCACTGCACTGCATGGCAAGACCCTATGTCAAAAAAAAAAAAAAAAGATAAAGGAGATATCGGCACATATTTTGAAAAAAATGTACTGAAAACTATACCAACTGTTAAGAGTGTTTCTCTGGCAGTAAGAGATGAATACGCTTTCTCTTCCAACATTATCTATTACTGTTATATTGTTTTATTCTATGGGAAAGTGTAAGCTTCATGTTACTATAACAAAATACCTGGGATGAGTAACTTAAAAAGAGAAAAGGTTTATTTTGGCTCACAGTTTTGAAGGGTTTAGCCCACAATCAATTGTTCCCACTGTTCTGGGCCTGTGGCAGGAAGCACATCGTAATGGGAGCACATGGCAGAGCAAAACTGCTGACCTGTGGTCAGATGGACATGAAAAAGAAGGGACAGAGGTCCCACGATACCCTTCAGGGACATGCTAACAATAACCAATTACAGACCCTCAGTGGGCCTCAACTCTTACAGTTTCCAACCCTCCCAATAGCTCCAGCCCTTGATACAAGGAACTTTAGGGGACAGTTGACATGCAAACTATAGGGGAGGGGAGGCAATGAGGATTCTTAAAGCATATTAAAAGAGATCAGTTACCAAAGGACAAGTTGCTCCCCTTTTTCAAACCTTACATCAACAACAAAAATAGCATTTCTCAGGTGCTTAATTTGGTCTGAAACTTCCTTACTTCGTGGCTAAAAATAAGTTAGTAAAGTTTTAATCAGAAACAATTATTGCTGTGCTCACAAGAGGCTGGCCTCAGCAGTAGTCAGGAGCTTCCAGTGCAATGACGAAACTGCTAGGGCACAAGCAGTCCTGCTTACATCATCCACACCTGCAGAGAGGAAGAGACTTCCAAAGCCTTCTGTGTAGAGCTTTTTAAAAAGCCCATAAGAAGACTGGGGCTGGAATTCAACGTAGAGTGTCTGCCCAGCACCCTAGGCCTTTAGATCATTGCTAGCATGACCCTGGGTTCAATTCCCAGTACAAGAAAGAAGAAGGGAGGGGGATAAAGAAGAGAGAAGAAGGGGAGGGGGAAAAAAGGAAGAGGAAAGAGGAGGAAAGAAAGAGCAAGAATGCGAAGAGATCTGATGACTACTAATAAAAAAGAAAACTATCTCCCCTTCCTTTTAATCTTAGGCTGCAATATAAAAACAAGGAAAATTACTGAGTCATAATTGTCAACGTCCACAGAGCACTTCCCATGCGCTGCAACACCTCATTTAATCTTCACCTGCAGATGCATGAAGCAATATACCGTACTATTAATCTACACGTTTTATCTGTAAGAACCCCGAGCTCAGAGAGGTTGCTGAGACACGACTATGTTCACACCTAACAAATCAGTAACGGTAACCGCTGAGGCTACACGTAGGGGACTGAAAAGGTACACGTTTGAGCTTAATTTCTCCTACCTATAGGTTGTCTACAGGCTCACGCTTAGCCTTGGCTCCAGGCACAGTGGTGAATGGAAAACGAGGGTGAAGAACTGAGTGCACGGGGGCTGGGGATTTAGCTAGCGGCATAAGTGCCTGCCTTGCAAGCAGGCAGTCGTGAGTTCGATCCCCAGTACCGATAAAAAGGGAAAAGACAAAGAAAATGAAAAAAAAAAAAAAAAAAGAACTGAGTGCACAGTATGAAAGTCCCAGCAAACACAAAGGATGAACCACTGCTAACCCTTGCAATGTGGGTGAATAACACAGACATAATGTAAACCTCAAGAAGCCATTCACAGAAGAACATATACTGTGCAAGCACACATTGATCTAACGTTCAAAACCAGGCAGAACCTGTCAATGCTGATAGAGAGCAAAAAGTGGACGAAGTTGCTGACTGCACAGCAGATGGAAAGGGATTTCTGGGGATGCGGACAGTGTGCTACATCTTCCTCTGGGCCGTAGCCAGACTACATAGCCATAAATGTATCAGTTTGGATTGGAAGTGTAGCTGGGTAGCAGAGCTCTTGGGAAGTGTGGGTGAGGTGCTGGTTTCTACCCCCAGCATCACAAACAAATGAAAATGTATCGAGTTTACACTTTGATTTCTAAAAATCAAAACAAGCTACCTTAAACGAGTTGTACTTTAATGTTACCTTTAAACATGTTGTATCTTGAGAAAAAAGGAGAAAATCAAGTAAGCAAAAGTAGTGGTTAAATATCCAATAAAAGATGATTTCATAAGTAAGACAATGGTATTTGTATAAATCAAAAAAATCAACAATTTCTAGAGAAAATTAATAAAAGCTTTAAGACAAAAATTTGCACAACAAATGGGTTTAAGAATACACAATGTGAAAAAAAAAAAAAAAGAATACACAATGTGGGGGCTGGGGATTTAGCTTAGTGGCATAAGTACCTGCCTTGCAAGCAGCCAGTCGTGAGTTTGATCCCCAGTACCGATTTAAAAAAAAAGAATACACAATGTGGCATTATAGACAAATCTTAGTATAATATTTCATTATAGAAAAATCACATATGCACATATACTATAAACATGTAGTAAACATAATCATCAAATTTAAAATAGAGAAATCAGAGCAAAGTCCCGAAGTTTGATCCCCAGCAATAAAGAAAAGTCAACAAGAAGAAGTTTCTTAGGTGTATACAGTGATACATACCTGTAATTCCAACACTAGATGGATGAGACAGGAGGATCGCAAGTTCAAGCCCAGTCTGGGCAACTTACTAAATAAGCAAGATCCTGTCTCAAAATAAAACATAATGAAGGCCTAGGAGGCACCTCAGTGCAGGGGCCCCATTCAATTCTCAGTACCAAAAAATAAATACATAAAAAAGGTTTGAGGTTTCTCTTCAACCAGCTGAACAGATGATAGCATCACTTATCATAATGGGAAAACATACACAATAAGTATTGGGGTTTTTTATTTTGTCTTGTTTTGTTGTACTAGATGTTGAACTCAAGACTTTCACACTAAACTAAATCCCAAGAACCCTTCCCCCTTTTTCTTCTTTATTTTATTTTTCATTTTTTTTAATTATGTTTGTCTTTTTATTTTTTTTTTTTTATTTTTGTCTTTTTCCTTTTTATCGGTACCGGGGATCAAACTCACAACTGCCTGCTTACAAGGCAGGCGCTTATGCCACTGAGCTAAATCCCCAGCCCTCTTTATGTTTCATTTTAAAGCAAGGTCTCACTGAGTTGCTAAACTGCCCAGGCTCTACTTGAAATTTTGATCCTCCTGCCTCCACCTCCCAAAGTAAATTACAGTCATGAGCCACTACACCTGGCTATGCTCATGTTTTGGAGGGGGGTGTCTAACTTTATTCACATCCGGCATCTGGGAGAAGCTGGGGTACAAGCCTAGAGTCAGTAAGGGGTGGTGGGTAGGCTGTCCTTGCCCCACCCCCTCAGGGTATGTTCAATTTTTGAGGAGGTAAATTAGAAATGTTTCCAATGGAGATTACTAAAATGCAGTTAAAGCTACAAAGTGAATATGAGTGAAAACTGGATTAAGGACAGATTTGGAAGTTATAAAGGGAGCGGTGATGATTGAAGCCACAAACCTGGACAAGGCTCCAGAGACAAAGTGGAATAAACAGAAAAGGGTGCACAGGAGAGAACCTGGGGACAGCAGAGACGGAGTCACAAAGCAGACAAAAAGAGCAGCCCAAGAGACTCAGATAAAGATACATGTGTAAGAGCACATTATCCTAGCAGCGAAAAGAAAGCAAGATGTATCAACAGTGCCAAATTCTAATGCAAATTCAGCAAAGGTAAAGACTGAAAAATAGGTTGAATTTGGCAACCAGGAAGTCTCTTGTCCATTTCTGAGAAAGGTGGACATCATCATGGAATAAATGGAAAACCAGCGAGAAAGGAAGAAGCAACACTGGCTGTGGGCTCCTTTTAAGAAAGCGTCACCCCTAAGAGAAGGAAAGAGGGAAGATACATGAGCAAGGAGGAGTTGTAGAGGGATCACTGGTTTGTTTGCATTGTTTCAAGCTATAGATACCAGTGTACTTCAATTATGTTAATGTGACAGTAATAAAGGAAAAAAGCAGAAGTACAAATATATGAGCGTAGTCAGGTCCTCCAAAATGAAGAACACACAGCCCAGTTCTCATCAAGACAATTGGCTGGTGACAAACATACTAGAGTCATGTTAACATTCATTAGCTGGTGAAATAAAGCACAAACGGGGCACATTTTAAACCACGAAGCAGCACACTGCAGAAATAAAAATGTACGTCAAAAGTCTGCTATTACAAAAGGTCTTTCATCAGGCACAGTGGTTGACATCTGTAATCCCAGGACTCAGGAGACTGAATCAGGAGGATTTCAGGGAGCTTAATGCCAGCTTAAATACTTAGTGAGACTTCATCTCAAAATAAATAAATACATAAAAATTTTTAAAAAAATAAGAAAGGTCTTTCACAGGCTTCTCCTCTTCTACCATTTAATAGTAGAAACAATCTTGGGCGTTGAATGCAATAGCTTTGAGCATAACAGACAAAAGAAAATTAAGTTACTGCACAGAAGTCTTTTGGTTCTATGTATTACTCATTTTCTTGAGAAGTAGCCATTATCAAATTCTTACCAGCTTTGGAGTCTTCAGGATGCTTGTCAGGGTGACATTCCAAAGCCCTGATCTTAAATTCTGCCAGTATTTGTTCAACCTAAAACAAAAAATCAGTGTTTAAAACATGGAGAACTTAAATGGCACAAAGAAAGAAATTGGGCATGGGTCTTCCCCAAATCAGCCACGAGTAACCCAACTTTTTTTACTTTGATCCTTATATTTCTATTTTGACTTTTTAACTACATGAAATAATTCATTCAATAATAAAATTCTAAGAGAATCAATAAAGGCTCTTATTCCAATAATTGTCTGTGTTATTATAGAATGCTAGCCCTTCTCCTTACTTCTGTTTTCAAATGTTGACCCCAAATACCTGAGTTCAGTGTGCTTGAATCTAAAATGAGTTCATAGTGGACTCACCATTAGGAGGTGAGGCGTAGTTAGAGCCGGGTCACTTAGGGGCACAACCTTGATGGAAGCATTATCATCCCTCCCTGCTTCCTGGGCGCCATGAGTTGAGCAGCTTCTTCCACCAGACCCCACTGCCATTCTGTTGCCCTCCCTGCCTTGGAATTGGCTGACCATGAATCAAAACTCGGAGTCAAAGTAAACCTCACCTCCTTTAAGTTGCAGGTATCTGGTGTTTTGTCCCAGTGACAGGAAAGTGGTGAAGACATTTAAATGTCAAAAAATGACCTGATTTCTTCAAATATATAAAATATGTGTTCATATTAATGGATTCTCCGAAGATGCTCAGCCATCACTCCTTATTCAGGACTGATAGTCCCTGAATTATTATGTTATTATTTACAAATTATTTATTATAAAGCTCCTTCTCTGTAAGTTTTTGCCATAGGATGGAACTCAAAGTCTTGCACACCTAGGCAAGGGCTCTATCACTAAGCTACCTCCTCAGCCCAGACTAATTTTTTTATTAGTTTGCAGCTAATGTGTAGTAGCACACACTTGTAGCCCAGCACTTGGGAGACTGAGGCAGGTGAATCACTGTGAATTTGAGGCCAGTGTGGGCTATGTAGTGAGTTCAAGACTACCCTGAACTACGAGGCAAGACCTTGGCTCAAAAAAGAAACAAAAATAAATTTCCACATTTTGCAAGGCCCTGGGTTCAATCTCCAGCACTAACCTCCCCTTAAAAAATAATTTCACAATTATGATTGAAAGAATATAATTTGAAACAGATAATTTTGTTTCCAATTACCAGCTTGGTTAGATTGGGTAAAAACTCCAGTCCAAACTAAAATGAGATTTGAGGGCCATCCATGGTTTGATTTGATTTACTATCCATATAACCCCTAGTATCATTGAGACAGAGCTTTATGAATCATAACTCAAATAACAACAGCAAGAGATAAGAACGGTTGTGTTTCCGGAATCTGATTACTTGGTTTTAAATCCCAATCCTGCCAAGAAACCTCAGGCAAGTTATGTAGTTTCTGTGCACCTAGGTCTCCTTCTCTTTGCAGCAAGCAATTTTTAACCAAAGCACTTAGCACAAAACCTGACCATAAGAACTCCAAAACAGTAACTGTGGTTAAATATCAGTGGTTAAGTAATTTGTCAAGAGTCATTCAGCCAGTGACTAAAAAATGCTGAATTTTTTGGTTAATTAACCAGTCAGAGTTTATTCCTATCAGTGGTTAAGTAATTTGTCAAGAGTCATTCATCCAGTGACTAAAAAATGCTGAATTTTTTGGTTAATTAACCAGTCAGAGTTTATTCCTATCACTGTAACCATTGCTTTATATGACCAAATCCTTCTGGCTTAGAAACTATGATCAGGTTCCATATCTACTATCCACTAATGAACTAAAGCAAATTACCTCTTGTTTAAGAAATGAATTCTCAAGCAACTCAGGTCAAAATTGGCATAAGAGTCCGAAGAGAAAATATTATCAGCTCCATGTCATTCTCCATCAATTCTTTTTTTGTTGTTTAATTTTTCTTATTTTATCTTAAAGATAAAGCTCAACATACAAAACAGAATAATCCAATCAAAACAAAGCAGTGAATTTGGTACAGAATCTCAAAGTAGGACAATAGGAAAACAACAGGGGCTACCATAGTGTATTTTGTTATCCTCACCATAGTTGTCCATCCCATCAGATATAGCAAAATCAAAACAAAACAAAACAATAAAACCATTCAAAACAGAACACTGAATAAAGCACAACAGCTAATCAGAACAAACAAAATAATGAGAACAATACTGGATTTCAAAAACAAGATAGAAAGAAATCCCCCATATTTGCTATACTGCACAACAGCCCCAGGCCTGCAAAGTCAACCAAACAATACAAGCATTCAGCTGCTCCCTGCACCTCACTTGCCACCAACTCAGCCTGTCCTCCAAACCATCTGGCCACCCATGGGATGGCAGGGGGAGTTGGTGATTCTCAGGAAGCACCATCTGACTTCTCTCCTCCTGGGCCTCACCTGGCTTAAGCTGTGCTAACTTGGCTTGTTTGTGGGCTCCTCCCAGCCCCAGCACGGCCGATTCTTGGGAGGCATTATCTCTTTTTGTTGTTGCTGTTGCTTTTTTAAGACACGGTCTCACTTTGTGGTACAGGCTGGCTTTGAACTCACTATTTAGCCTAAGCTGGCCTTAAACTCAAGGCGATCCTCATGCTTCGGCTTCCCAAGTCTGGGATCACAGTGCGTGCCACACTGGCTACTCAATTCTCAGTTTTAAAAATTGTCTTTGCCAGGGATGTAGCTCAGCAGCACAGTGTTTAGCAAGTATGAAATTGTGAGTTCGATACTCAGAACCAAAAAAAAAAAAAAAAAAATCAAATAAAAAAGTCTTCACTTTTTTAATCAATAACATATTATACATATTAGTACAAATTCTTGACCAATTCTGCACCTTTCCTTTTTAAGTTTGAGGAAACCATAGGGGGCCAGGGGTGTGGCTCAGTGCTTGCCTAACATGGAACAAGGTTCTGGGTTCCATTCCTAACCCCACCACCAAAAAGTCTGAAAAATTCTTGAGTTAAAGAAAGAGGTTAGACTTCTATAAATGTAATAAACTGTGTCCTTCCTTTTCCTAGGTGCTACCTTTAACCATCAGTCACCAAAACCTGATTATATAACAGAGAAAACTGAGAATTAGACTTGTTTTTATTTTTTCTTTTATTATTAGTGCTTATGAATTTTACAAAATATTTCAATGCATGTATTCTCATCATATCCACCTCCCCTCCAGCATCTCTTACACTCCTCCCTTATCCTCTTCCTCTTGTCTGATAATAGTCTGCCTTCTATTTTCATGTCATCTTTTTTGGATTCCACATATTAGGGACAATGTGTGATATTTGTCCCTCCGAGCCTGGCTTATTTCACACAACGTAATAAGCTTCATTCCATCCATTCTCTTTAAATGACATAATGTATGTATCACATTTTATTTATCCATTCACCTGTGGATGGGCTTCCAGGCTGGTTCCATATCTTAGCTATTGTGAATTATGCCACCATGAACATGGGTATGCAGGTACCATACAGTATGTTGACTGTAGAGATTTACGCTTGTTTTCAATTTTAAAATATGAATGTTCTGGGGCTAGGATGTAACTCAGTGGTACAGTACCTTCTCGAATGAGAAAGGCTGAAAAGGAATAGAAAAGGAAAGGCCAGATGTGGTAGCACACACCTGTAATCCCAGACCTCCATAGCTGAGGCAGGAGGATTGCAGTGAGTCTGAGGCCAACTGGGCTACATAAGGGAGTTCAAGACCAGCCTGAACTACAGAGCCAGATGCTATCTAAAAAATAATTTTAAAAAGAGAGAAAAAAAACAGAATGAAAGAAATTTTTAAAGACCACAGTAGTAAACAATTCTCAATTAACAAGTCATATTTACTTATAAGCAAGTAAGTCACTTGCAAATAGCTCACAGTGTGGGAACATGGTATGCACTCTGCCTTGAGAAGGGCCTTCAGTAAACCACCAAGTCTTTGGATTTCCCAATATCAGCTGCAGTGAGACATTTCAAAGAAGGGAAGCAACACATCACATGGTGGAAGGAAAAATAAACTTAACTCTTCAAAAAAAATTAACAAGTCCTTTATTAACACAAACTCTTTGAAAATTTTTCCAACAATACTGAACAGAAGGAAAAAGCCTTTTTAACCCTCTTCTGCCAAGACACCGGGCTCTATTCTTCAAAATACACATTTTACACACATATATCTTAGAAATTTTTTTGTACCAAGAATCAAACTCACGGCCTCCTGCTCACCAGGCAGGTACTTGTGCCACTGAGCTAAATCCCCAGCCAATTTAAGATTTTAAAATAGCACAGATGGATAAAATTTTATCTACCTATCAAAGGTAAGAAGTTTGAGTTTTGTCTTGCTGTTGTTTTAATTTGAATCCCATCAGAAAACATCCTGATATTCATGCATGGAAGCAAATTCTCAGCAGTGCTAACATATATGATTGCTACTTTCTTCTTTATATTATATGAGTTTTGCCAATTTGATACCCTTTTAAAATTAGGAATAGCTGGGGCCGGGGATTTAGCTCAGTGGCATGAGCACCTGCCTTGCAGGTGCACAGTTGTGAGTTTGACCCCCAGTACAAAAAAAAAAATTAGGAATAGCCTATGTCTATCTTTTATTACTTCACTGTTTTACTGTCACAAAGTTAATCAAGAACTCTCTGTAGCAGGGCTAGGGATTTACCTCAGCGGCATAAGCGCCTGCTGTGCAAGCAGGTGGTCGTGAGTTCGATCCCCGGTACCGATAAAAAGGAAAAAGACAAAAAAAAAAAACCTCTCTGTAGCACTGACTAGGGGTGAACCAATAAAGTGATAAAGCCAACATCTTCTGTTCATCTCAGGGCCTCCCCTCCTGCTAGCTCCAAATGTGGTCCCCAGGCAGCTGAAGCCCTGATCCTCAAGGTCCACTGAATTCTGTCTTCCTGATCCAATGTCCAGAAATCCTGTTGACCAGTAAACATAGAAAAAATCTGCCACCAGGGATATAGCTCAGCTGCACAGCACCTGTCTGGCAAGCATGAGGTCTTGAGTTCAATTCCTGGTACTGAAAGAAAAGGAAAAAATTGGCCAGGCATGTAGTGCATGTCTGTAATCCCAGCACTCGAGAGGCTGAGGCAAGAGGATTGCTGCAAGTTTGAGGCCAGCCTGAGCTACAAAGTGAGTTGAAGGCCAGGCTGAACTGCAAAGCAAGACCCTGTCTCAAAAACAAAAATAAATAGTTTTATTTAGATTTTAACCTTTAAAATAACAATCCATTAACCCATAGTAATAAAAAATAAACCAAATAAATAAATACATAAACAAATGGAGAAAAAAGGTTTGGCTTTGCCAAAGAATTCTAACTAACAAATGTACAGTAATTTCCCAATTTATAAATGAGTTCTGTTCCAGGAGAATACTAGTAAGGCCAGCAAAGCAAGTAGCACACACATTTGACATAAATGAAAGGGTTTTGGCCCAGGCCGGATACTGTAGCCCGTAAAGCCAAGGAGCTCCTATCTCCCCCACCCTTAGGAATCTACCTCTGGTGCCAAACAAAAACCAATGGACTACCTGTGCATCCCTAATGCCCCCTTAGGTTCCACCCCAAGCCGAGGCTACTTAGGTGCCTCACTCCACGTGTTCCACGGTAAGAGGAGAGATCCCAGGCCCCAGGGTGGAGATGCCACACCCCAGGGGGTCAGGGGTGTCTCTCCTCGCATTCCCAAAATAAAGGTCATTTATATTTCATACTTCTTATCTTTTCAGCCACCACCAGTCCTCCTCCACCCCACAGTTCTATCAATAAATATACAACATAGGGGCTGGGGATTTAGCTCAACGGCATAAGTGCCTGCCTTGAAAGCAGGCAGTCGTGAGTTCAATCCCCGGTACCGATAAAAAGGAAAAAGACAAAAAAAAAAAAAAAAAAAAAAAAACTGGTGTAAAAAATAAATATACAACATAAAGCATTAAAAACCCAAATATGCGCTCACAGCCCAGATAGTCATAAGTCAAGGGCTTACTGTAAATTAAATGTGAAAAACAGAAAGTTACTCATCGGTAAATGCCATAGCTGTAACTGTTAACAGTCCATATCCACTAAAGAATGTTAAGTCAGAGGGTGAAAGTTTGAGGAGAAAAGGTATAGTTTCAAAGCATCTTCCCCCAAGATATGTGTTACAGTTTCTATCAAGATGTCCCCCTTGTGTGGTCACAGGTGGTGCTTTTCAGAAGCCGATGGATCCAGTCTGTGTGAATGTGGAATAAGAGTGTGATGCCGGGATTACGGTGTGTGGTCCTGGAGCAGCCCACTGATTGTTTTATCATTGTTCTAGGTGTCATAATGAGAAGGCCCACCCTGGGTGTGGGTGGCACCACCCAAAAGGCTTGCAGCCTGGATGAGATATAAAAGGGAAAGTGGGGCTTGCTGCTGCTGCTGCTTACTGTTCCACTGCCTTCTGCCTGCCCTGCCATGGACTGCTTCTCCTCTGCTCTGCCACCCTTCCTGGGTGGCAACAACAAGTCCTTGGAACCAACAGACTAGGGACTGAAATGTCTGCAAACTGTGAGCTAAAATAAGGCTTTTCTCCTATAACTTTCAGTGTCAATATTTTGTCTTAACAAAGAGAAAAGAAACAAAGACAATACATTAATTGCAAATGGAAAAATAACAACCCTACTGCAGAAACTTGGCAAAAGGAATATGACAGACACCACTCTAACCATGAAATCAAGGTCAACAAACACATCCACTTCATGTGCTTCCAGAAGGCATGGCATCACTTCTGTGATGTTCCTTCTAGAAATGAATAACCTCAATTTAATCATGAGGAAATGTCAAAGGCCAAATGATGTACATTGTATAAAATAAAAAGTTCTCATCAGAGTGGCCAGTCTATGAGAAGGTAAGAGAAACAGTCTAATTTGGAGGAAATTAAGGGAATTCAACAGCTAACTATAAACAATAAGTGTTCCTGGCTTAGATCCTAGAACAGGAGAAGGATATGGTAGAAAAACTGGTGAAATTAGATCATGACTATCATTTAGATAAGGGATTGACTGATGCTGTCCCACAGGCAAAATCTGGCCTATTGACTTTTTTAAATAGTTTCATTGGAAGACAGCCACACACAGCTTTCTCAAAATGGTAGAGTGAAATAATTGGGACAGAGACCTTTAGACCTGCAAAGTACAAATATTTGCTGTTTCAAACCAACAGTACAACATGTAGGCTTATGGAGATTCTGCCCTGGCCATTTGCCCAAACTCACAAACTCACACACCTGATTTTTTACTTGTGTGACTCAAAGAATAAGTGCCTCCTTAAATTGGCATCTAGAGCAGCCTGCTTGCTTCTCTCTGGTCCTGCACTCATCTGATCATCTACCAAAAAAGTGTTTTCTGGTCGCTGGCTGACTTTGTAGTATTGTAACAATGTTCTTTGGCTTTAATCCTTTATTACCCTAAGTATGATGTTAACATTAACAAGCTGGGTTGAAGCTATGTAGTAATTCTGTGTACAAGTATTGTTACTATTTTCCTGTAAGTCAAAAATTACTTCAAAATAAAACATCTTAAAAGTAATTCATAATATAGCATAAATTTATGGAGTTCCAAATGTACAATGTCCCTATGAAGCCCAAACAGTATCCATAACCACAACTTGCAACTCTGTGCCAGGCACTTTCTAAGCACTTTTATATATTGTGTCTCAGTCCCCACAATTCTAAGAGGTGAGCGATACATCTGCACATTAGGAAATGAAGGCACAGAAAAGTCAAATAATTTTCTTATAAACAGCAGAGTCAAAATTAGATCCCAGATAATATGAAATTGATAAGAAAAGGAATTAGAAAACCAGATGTTTCCACCTATCAGTTTTGTACTGAATGTTCAAGCTCATAAAGTCTTGAAGTCATGATGCTTCCTTAGCATTATTACCATTTCAATGGCCAAATATTTAAAAACCAAATAAGATTCACACCAGGGAGAACATTTACACACTACAATATATGCATAAACAAGAACTTCAGTGGGTTTTTTAACATGTATCTTTTATGTAAAACCCAATATAAAGAGAAAAGGCTGGATGGCCTTTAATAAAACTTTGGTAAACTGTTTTAAAATGGAGAGTGATGGAGAGTGTGTTGTTTTCCATGCAACAGCATGGAAATATTCCTCTCCTGATTAATACTTGATATGCTTTAGGTAAAGGAAGAAAAGTAGTCTCAGTGTTTATTGTTATAATTTTTTTAATTGTGAAGGGTGGGTTTTTTAAAGTATCTGAGAAAAAAAGCTTCACAATTACCATTTTATAACCATATATATATACATAAAATTATATTTATATAATTCTAAAATTATATACATACAATTTTGCTTTGAATTTAATTTCCAACAGAAGCTTTAATTTGTAAACACTATATACTGTATCAAACCAAAACATTATGTGGTTATCTCAACTTGTTATTGTAAGTAAAATCAAAATATCAAATTGCTTTGAAATAATTTTGAGTATGAAGAGTTCTGGTCAACTTTAGAGCATCAAGTCAAGGAATATTTGAAGTAAAGGAAATTCAACTAATACAAATCGAGTTAAGGAAATGTCATACTGAATAGTCAAAGGACAAAAATCTTTAATGAAAAATATATCTAAAAATAAGAAAGGAAAAGATACATACAAAAAGAAATAAAGAAACCATAACAGGTTACTTCATAAAAGTAAGTGATCTTTAAACCAGGCATAGTGATGTTCTCAGCACTTGGAAGCTGAGGCAGGAGGATTGCTGTGAGTAGAGCCAGCCTGAGGCTACACAGTGGGTTCAAGGCCAGCCTGAACTACACAGAAAGACCTTGCCTCAAAACACACACACACACACACACACACATCAGCACAACGCCTGCCTGGCAAGGGCAAGGTCCTGAGTTAGATTTGTGGTACAAAAAAAAAAAAAAAAAAAAAAAAAAGCCAAGGAAAAGATCTAAACTGTGAATGTGAAACTTACCAAGTTAAATTTTGTTTCTTTCATTTTAAATAATTTCTTTAAAAATTATTTGCTAACAGTATAATGAATGACACACATGGTAAAAATTGTAAGTAAATTACCACCAAAGTAAACAAACGTAGCATATTTTTGAAGAAAAATATTTAACTAAGAAGAGCATAATAACTGGACGTGGTAGCACACACCTGTAATCTCAGTTCTCAAAAGACTGAGGCAGGAGAATTGCCACGAGTTGAGACCAGCCTGGTCTACATAGTGAGTTCGAGGCCAGTCTGAATTATATAATGAGACCCTGTCTCAAAAAACAAATATCACTAATTTAGTGGAAAATTATATCTCATCTCAACTATAGCATGAATTACCAATAATAAAGGTATAGCTGTGTATACAGTACAACACTGCCAACAGAAATTGCATTAAATTTTCAAATAAGTAATTTTTAGCATATTGTGAAATAGAATTTACGATCATACAGCAGAATACACAGTACTGAGTCAGAAGCTGCCATACAGTTACCGTAGGATACCCAATAGGTAAAGAGCCAACAGACATTTAAACTCTTAAATTTCCTTGAGCCCAAAGTACTTGAAAATGATATAAGATGTGACAAAAAGTTGAAGGTTAACGTCATGAATAAAAACTTAAAATGCTGTTGTGAGACAGAACAGCACCGTCCACTCTTACCGAAGAGAGCTCATCACAGCCCAGCAGCGTGTAGTAATCTTCACTGTCGTCTAGCCTGTAATTCAGTATTGCGTCCATTTGGATGAGTTAATCCTTCTCTCTTTACTCCTCGGAAACCAGAGACACGAGTCCGAATTAATAGAACGGAAACTTCTTCAGATTTGAATATACCAGCACTTTCGGAAGGAGAAGAGCCAGTTCTAGATCCGCAGCCGACGACGCCACAGTTGTCAATAGAGACGGTTGTGAGCGCCGCTTCCCACTGGTCGTGTGCAGACTAGGGACCATTTCCCATTGGCCGTTCCCGGACAAGGGCTCGCCTCCCATTGGCCGTGCGCAGACAAGAGACAGCGCTCCTGACGTAGCGGCGCCTCCTGGAATCTGCAGTTGGAGCTTGGGTAGCGCTGCAGGTGAATGATTCGTGTTGGAGTTATAAAAACCGTCTGCTTTTATAAACTCTGCAAGTCATCTCTCCCTTTTCTATGTGATTTTTTCTTTTTCAGGAAACAAAAAAATTGGAGGTAGTATAGTGTATGTTAGAATTTGTTAAATAGAAATAGTGGGTATTCTTCTAAGTGTTTACAGGATTTTGTATTTTGGGGAGACCGGAGATAATCGGTCAGAAAAGCAGAGCACTGAGCACCCCCCTCGCACTTCCCAAAAATGTTATTTTAAAAATAAAAATAAGGGTGGAAGGAAATAAACTAATATAGGAAGTGCTCATTTGTTTCACAATTTATTCAATGTGTATTTACTGAGGAACTATTTTGTGCTCAAACAAAATCTTGATTCTTTGGAGGAAGGGTGTTGAGACAGGGTTTCTCTATGCAGTTCAGACTGGCCTTGAATGCACCTTTATTCCAGGGTGATCTAGAACTCACTGGGATTCTCCTGCTTCAACCTCCGAAAGTCTGGGATTACAGGTGTGCGCGACCGCAACAAGTGAAGCTTTGATTCAAGTCCTCTCTCATAAATATCTTTATGCAGTGTAATTATATATATATATATATATATATATATATATATGCTGCTGTTGAGTGTATCTTATGGAAAGGCAAGCATTGCATGTTCTCATCCACCTTAGTCACTGGATCTGGCACCATTGAACTCCTGGTTTTTCTCCCAAAGTTATAATGACCGTGAAAGGTAAACTTTCTTGAAATCAAGGCATCAAGGCGGCCATGACAGCAAAATCAAAGACACTAATGGGAGAAGACTTCCACTAATGCCAGCATGCAGGAGGCTGAGGCAGAGGATCACTAGGCTCAAGGCCAACCCAGACTATATAATGAGTCCAGGCCCACCTAAACTACACAGTGAGACCCTGTCCCCACAAAAAAGAGACACAAAAGCTGGGCATGGTGGCATATTGTTGTAATCCCAGCATTTGGGAGGCTGGGGCAAGAGAATTACTGTGAGTTCATAGCCACCCTGACCTACATTAGTGAGGCCCAGTCTTAAAACATGAAAAAAAAGGGGGGGGGGGAGGCAACAATGTTATTTTAGGGGAAAAGGAAGCTTTTATTTTAGTTTATTATTATTTTAGGGGAAAGGATGCTTTTATGTTTCTCTTTCTGAACTGTTTTATATGAAATCAATGTAGTCATGCCTTTTGTTGTTTTCACTATTTTTTTTTTTTTTTATTTTTATTGCCTGCTTGCAAGGCAGGCGCTTATGCCGGTGAGCTAAATCCCCAGCCCCCTGTTTTTACTACTTTTAAAAAGCAAGTATCAACCAGGTGTGGTGGTGCATCCTATACGCCCTACCCTGGGAAGGCTGAAGTATGAGAATAATGAGTTCAAGGCCAACCTGGTCTATGTAGCAAGACCTTGTTTAAAAAAAATAAAGCCGATGCAATGGTGCATACCTGCAATCCCAATATTGGGCAGGCTGAGGCAACAAGGTCGCCATGGGTAAAAGGCCAGCATGGATTACATAGCGAGACTGTCTCAGGGAGGAAAAAAAAAAAGCAAGTATCACTTGCTTTATTTCCGTATGCTCACTAAAGAAAGCTAGTAATGTAATTCAAAGCACACACATTCAAAGTAAAAATCATACAATACTCTGGTTTCTCTTCAGAGTGTATAAATCTTTAGCCTTTTAAAAATCATACTGAATCAAAGTTCATAAAATCAAGGTTCATAAAACTAGATGATCAAGGATAGAACTGGGCCTTAAAAGCCACCAATTGCCCTCCTGCTCGGAATCGTCGCTCACTCAAGACTACAACTCCCACGAGGCACAGCAGGAACCGAGCTGAAGGCGCGGTGGCGAATAGCAGCTACTTCCGCTTTTAGGGCTCCACCCCTTCTGCCGGAAGTGCTTTTTTTTTTAATGCTTACTCTGGGACTATGGAAAAAGAGAACAACTAAAAGTCAGTTAAACCGAGAAAATAAAAGACCAGAGAGCAGAGGTGACAAGCTCTAGAAGCTTTGAGCAAAGATGAACTGTTAACCCATAAATGGAACTCCCCGTAGATCCCGAAATCCACTCAAGCACACACCCCGCCCATTTTTCCTCTCAATCTCGCCCAGAACTTGGGACTCGCGAGATGAAGCTGGCGCCTTTCCCTTGTGCTTCTTCCAAATGTGAGCTTCCGAAGAGCAAACTCCAAGTATCAAAAACTTTATCTACAATCGTTGGTCCCGATTTCCCGCGGCTGAACCAATCCCATGTAATTGTCTTCCCCCTTCTCAGGCAGGGATCCTGGACCGGCAGTCCGCTCTGATACCAGGACTTGGATTTGACAGCTCTGGGCTCTTTGAGGCCAGCACCTCGGAATCCACATCATCTCCAATTTAAAATCCGTAGAACGAAAACGGAGCCTGCCAGGGCCTGAAATGCCGTTTCCCATTCTATTCTCGGGATTTGATTGGTTGGTTGTCTGTTTTTGAGACGGGTTCTTGATATATATTTCAGACTAGCTTTGAACTCATTATGTAGCCCAGGCTGGCCTCAAACTCGCAATGATCTTCCTGCCTCAGCCTCCCAAATACTGGGAGTACAGGCTGTACCACCACTCCCAGATATGACACCCTCTGTCTAAATCAGGGAATCAAATTCCTAAGGGGAACTTCATCCTAACTCAAGAACAGGATGTGATGGAATTCTTTGAAATCAGACACAAAAAAAGATTTATAAATAATTTTTCAAAGGCTTCTGAAATATTTTGAAGTCTGATGGTGTGACAAGTGCTATTAATCCTATTGTTAATAGTGGAGTGAAAGATGTTAATAATGGGATTGTTCATAGTGGTGGGGAGATAGGTATGGAAACTCTGCTTTTCACTCAATTATGCTGTGAACTTGAAATGCTCTAAAAGTATAAAATTAAGAAGAAAGAAATTGTTCTGTGTTGTGTATGCGGTACTGAGGATCAAACTAGGCCTCGCACATTCTAAGCACAATGCAGTACCACTGAGCTATACCCCCGGCCCCCAATTTATTCATTTTTTAAAAATAATAACAATACAAACTATAATAAACACCTTTCAAATGTTAATTGGCCTTTACTTGTAATTCTAGACCAAGCAACAATTCATTGTGTTTTATTGCTCAGCTTATTCCCAATGAGTTGAGCAGGAGTTTGGCTTTATAAGCAGAAAGGGAATGAGGAAAGCCAAAACAGAACAAAAAGCAGATTGGTGGTTTTCTGAGATCAGGCTAGATCCGGCGCATTCAGGCTACTATGGCTGTAGACTGGATTGGTGGTTTTCATGCTACTAAAAACCGGCCTGTTTTAGGATTTGCTTGCCCTCCTGTCTGTCTGTCTGTCTGTCTGTCTCTTTCTCTCTCTTTGTAAAAGTCGAGTAAATGTATTTTTGACTTAGTAAAGTAGGACTTCATTATAATTAACTCCACTTGAGTTTGGTCTGTTGGGCCTAGTACAAAATCTCCACCCAAAACAATTTTGACCTATAAATTTTAAAACAATTATTGAGAGCCAGTAGAAGTGGTGCACACCTGTAATCCCAGTACTCAGAGGATAAAGCAGAAAGAGCCCAAATTCAAGTCCAGCTTGGGGAAACACTACAATTTAGCAAGACCCTGTCTCGAAATAAAAACTTTTAAAAGTGCTGCAGTTTTAACTCAGTGCAAAAGCCCTGGGCTTACCCAATACTACAAAAAAAAAAATTAATATGCTGTGTACCAGTGGTAGAGCTAGGATTTAAACCTTGCAGTGTCTGACTCTAAAATCCATGTTGAAAATGTAGAGAGCGCTACATCCACTACATATTAACTGGCCATAACTTTGGCACAGCAGAAAATGTACCAGACAAGGTATCAGGAGAGCTGATTTCTAGTATCAGCTCTCTGCTAATTCCTTATTGAGCCATGCTTCCTTGGATTGGAAAAGATATTGGACCAAAAGACTGATTCTCAAACTTTAAAGGGCCCATAAATCATGAGGAGATCTGGTTAAGATGCACCTTTTGGTTGAAGATGTAGCTCAGTGGTAGAGTACTTGGCTGTCATACGTAAGTGTGTGAGGCCCTGGGTTTCGTCCCCCTGCACTTTAAAGAAATGCGGTTTTTGCTTCAAAATACATGAAGGATCAAACTCACGACTATATGCTTGCAAGGCAGGCGCTTATGCCACTGAGCTAAACCTCCAGCCCCTTGGATTGTGCATTTCTAACATCCAGGTGAGGTCCCTGCTCACCCCAGGGCCCATCCTTGAAATAACAAAGGACAGGATTCCCTCTCAAAGCCTTTCATTCTCTAAAGGTTCACATATTCTTTCCTCTAATCCTAGCCACTCTAATCTTTTTTTTTTTAATTTTATTTAAGGAGAAAAAAGAAAAAGGGTACAAGTTATACAGAATTTCAGAAAAAATAAACAGTAGGAAATCACTAGTTAATTACATATTGTCATCTTAGAAATAGTTGTTGAAATAGCCACTCTACCCTTATCCCACCATTCCTGCCATTTGCTGAAACTGTCCTGGTGTCCTACTTCAGTCTTGGTGTCTTTAATTGTGCTGTTGTGGCTGTCTCAGTGTCCTGAATTGATTCAAAGCATTTACCTTTGATAACTGCCTTGACTTTAGGGAAGAGCCAGAAGTCATACAGTCATACATACATGACAAACTAAATGAGGACACACTGTAGTGCTTTTAATTTTATTTTCATTTTGTCTTTTGAGACAGGGTCTCATTATGCAGCTTTGGGCTCACTTTGTAGCCCTGACTGGTCTCAAAGTCCAAACGATCCTCCTGCCTCAGCTTCCCAAGTGCTGAGATTACAGGCATGCACCACC